TCCTCTTGATTTTTGGCATTCATATAGATACTGTGGGATAAACACATTCTCAGTCAGTTGTACCTGCATCACTCTGTCGGTTGTAAGCTGTACGCGCTACTTTGTCGGTTATAAACATTTACTCTGTCAGTTGTACGCACAACTCTGTCGGTGGTACGAACTCCTCTGTCGGTTGCAAATATTTACTCAGTGGGTTGTACGCACTGACTCTGTCGGGTGCAACATTTACTCCAGTGTCAGTTGTACGCACAACTCTGGCTGTTGTAAATATTTCCATTGTCGGTTGTATGCCCTATTCTGTCGCTTGTACGTACTACTCTGTCGGTTGTAAATATTTACTCTGTCGGTTTGACCACAGGCGACCCACACGTAGTATGTGTCACTTAATGAATATATTAATATTCACATGGACAAATTCAAGCAATGTGTCGTCGAAACTCCCATGAACTAAAATAGTCCAAAAGTCAAAAGTATAACAAAAACAAGACGCTGTGGGAGCGTATATTTGGGCGTGGTCGTACTACAGGTATGATACTTTGAACATGCCTTATTGCAGCTAAAGAACTGTCATCATATCTTACCAGAGAGGGCAAATCCTTTACTCCACTTGGTTGCTGAACCACACAGCTTATACAGTATGTCCCAATCCACAACAAAAGTAGTGTCATTTCATCACAATGTTTGAAAATATTCACATCTTCACTGCAGACATGCTTGGAGCCAAATTGCAACATAGGACATAAATGTTTACAGCCCGGAGAGTAAAATTTATCTCAGCTCCACTGATACTGACAGATGTGTTTTCACACCCATCACATTGTACAGTGTATTCCGGTTACCAACAAGGGCGAATAAAGTTCCTTAAGTCCAGTACCCACGAGGATTAATAAGAGAGTAAGACATTGCATAAACTGCTATAGGGCAGCACTGTTTACAGGAACATTGGTAACTATCGACATTTGATATACTACAATGTTCAACATTGCTTGAGATAAGATGAGCTTCAAAGGTGGCACTATGTACACCTTTAAGTTCACGTATATATATGCTCATTCCTATGTAGAGTCTGAAAATATTGTAGTAATTTATGCATGGATGGTATTTCCAACAATACACATCCCTTCACTATGACTGTTATGATACATATCTCTAGCATGAGAATCAAATACTGTATATCCCCCAGCCTCAATGCTGTAGATACCAACACCAATAATTGCCACCGTTAAAATGAATGAGTTGTAATTCAGTACCAAGAGTGCTGTACCCTGTGAGTGGCATATACAGTAGTGATACCCCTCAATTCTGGGATCACCATGGATGTTACAAGTATAACTGTCATCGTATTCAAGGTGGAAAAATTGCTTAAACACTATAACCATTCCTGGCAATTCTGTTAACATTAACATAGACTGTCTGGCAAGCAGTGACAGACTAGAATATCATCTAATACCAACAATCATTATTTGAGTCATATTACCAACTGAAGTAATCTTCGTTATCTTACTGTAAATTAAAGCGCACAGACTCGATCATTGCGACACACTGTTGTCCAACATTTTCCCCAAATACTGTAACGTTTCCTTGACAGTATGGAGCATGAACTGTTTTTGTAGCATTTACATAAACTGAAGGTTCTAGATTCTTCTCGATATCTGTACAAAGCCTAAATTGGCCAAAATTAACCCGGTGATTCAAACTGTTGTAAGCAGTATAAAATGGATAATTGCATGTACAGAGGGCCAAATTCTTACGTAAAAAGCCTATTTGGATATCTCATTTCACCTAAATCACTTGTGCTTTGATGCTTAGACGACAGAGACAACTTCCCTTGTTTACGAACTAGTTTTGGAGTTGCCCTTTAAGTAAAAACCTCACACTGTTACAGTTACTTCTGTACCTGTCTAACTGTAAACCTTCTCTATTTTCAACGTAACAATGAATTTCAGACGACAATGGTGTATTTTTCCGAATACCCTTCCATACAAAAAGCCTCACCTTCTAAACAAAATTGAAATAACAAAAAGAATTGTTACACTTATCACAGTAGTTCCAAAAGAAGCCTCAGTCCCTTTTGGTCTCAATTGTTGACAATCGTCTCTTCCTTCATCGGAACAGATTTTTATCACAGGCAACTCGTTGTGTTCCGCAATGCAAATACCAAAATCACTATTGTCACACCGTAACGATAACTAGCTACACAAATCTTGCGACTCTCAAACTTGTTAAACATTCCTCTGTTCCAACTCTTATCCATTTTACGCGTACACTCCTGATATTCCGATTTGTTATTACGTCTATGGGGTCCATGAGTCTTTGATGTCATTGAATGTCTTGATAGTTTCCTTTGTTTTTCTTTGAGTTCGTGGACCACCCCATTCCAAAAACTCTCAGTGTTATTTTTCAGTGTGGGCCTACCGCGAACAGTGTGTGCATTTGTAAGTTTAACCCGGGAGAACATAATTGAAGAGTATATTAACACGTTCCTCGAAACGCCGCGGCCAAATGTTATCCAAACTGCTTCTTACTGCTGCTTCGAAAAATTTCGGATCAAACTATATCCAAATCGTCCCTCATTGGATTATCCACTCGACCTAACAAATTCAACCAATTAATCACAAAATAAGGAAAAGAAAATGGACATAAAATAAAGAAAACAGCAAATTCAGATGACCTCTTAGGAAACAGGCAATTAAAATTGTCTTTCTATGATTGGTGCATTCCGATCCTCTCGTCAAAAAAATGTCAGACGCCAATCATCTTAGCGGACCTCTAAGGAAACGAAAGTTTACTTCAACGGGTTGAAAAGGTCATTGTTTGTGATTTGTGATTGGTGGATTTCGATCCGTTTTATGAGTTTCTGTGTTTCAATGTTCGTTGCTTGTGATCTTATTGTGACCAAAACCCGACATTAATATTCCAAATATTTTTGATAGATTTCATCCCTGGACTTCAGACTTCCAAATTTCGATGAGGCAAAAATACTGAAGATTCAGATTAACTTTTGAGGTCGTAAAAGTGCGATAAAGTGACGTGTGCTAGCAGAGCTTTCTTTCCCTCATGCCTCTTACCTTGTACAAGACGTTCGTATGGCAGACATTCGCGTCTCTTTGCTTGTTTACTTGCTATGTTTACGTTAGCACGTATTGCACGCCTATTGCACATTTGCGTCAAAACAAACCGTTTCCATTACCCTATTTGGGCGTGGCTCAAACAATTAGATCAAAAAACACAACACGCAATACAAAATCAAGCACATTAACCGTCACCCTGCTAAACAAAATTGGAATAATCAAAATTGTTACAGTCATCACAGTAGTTCCAAAAGAAGCCTGAGTCCTTTTTGGTTTCAATTGTTGACAATCGTTTCTTCCTTCATCGGAGCAGATTTTTATTACAGGCAACTCGTTGTGTTCCGCAATGTAAATATCAAAATCACTATTGTCACACTGATGACCAGCTACACAAATCTTGCGACTCTCAAACTTGTTAAACACTTCTCTGTTCAAACTCTTATCCATATTACACGTACATTCCTGATATTCCGATTTGCCATTGCGTCTGTGGGGTCCATGAGTCTTTGATGTCATTGAATGTCTTGATAATTTCCTTTGTTTTTCTTTGAGTTCGCGGACCAGCCCCTTCCGAAAACACTCAGTGTTATTTTTTAGTGTGGGCCTACCGCGAACAGTGTGTGCATTTGTAAGTTTAACCCGAAATAACATAACTGAAAAATATACTAACTCGTTCCTCGAAACGCCGCGGCCAAATGTTATCCAAACTGCTTCTTACTGCTGCTTCGAAAAATGTCGGATCGATATCCAAATCGTCACTCATTACATTATCTACTCGACCTAACAAAATCGACCAATCACAAAATAAGGAAAAGAAAATGGACATAAAATAAAGAAAACAGCAAATTCAGGTGACCTCTTATGAAACAGGCAATTAAAACTGTCTTTCGATGATTGGTGCATTTCGATCCTCTCGTCAAAAAAATGTCAGACGCCAATCATCTTAGCGGACCTCTTAGGAAACGAAAGTTTACTTCAACGGGTTGAAAAGGTCATTGTTTGTGATTTGTGATTGGTGGATTTCGATCGGTTTTGTGAGTTTCTGTGTTTCAAGGTTCGTTGCTTGTGATCTTATTGTGACCAAAACCCGACGTTAATATTCCAAATATTTTTGATAGATTTCATCCCTGGACTTCAGACTTCCAAATTTCTATGAGGTAAAAATACTGAAGATTCAGATTAACTTTTGAGATCGTAAAAGTGCGATAAAGTGCCGTGCTAGCAGAGCTTTCTTTCCCACATGCCTCTTACCTTGTACAAGACGTTCGCATGGCAGACATTCACCTCGCTTCGCTTGTTTACTTGCCTTGTTTACGTTAGCACGTATTGCGTGCCTATTGCACATTTGCGTCAAAACAAGCCGTTTCCATTACTCTATTTGGGCCACGCCCAAATAAAAAGTGGCATTTTGTTGAGTTTTGCCAGCCTCGTACCCAGGCCAGTTCGCGCTATCCGAGTTACCGGGAGAGGCTTGGAACCGAGTGCGATAGCGCTAGGCCTTTAGGGCGGAAAACGTTCTGCGCAAGCTTCTGCGCATCCCTTACCGCAGGCTCAAGGCGGGCTTTTCTGTACGTTGACTGTGTTTGTTTGTTGCTGGAGTTCTGAGTGAAATGCACGAGGTGCGAACGTTAGCTCCTTGTAAAGCATTTTTATTTGACATGTTTGCTTTTTTTTCGTCGCTTGAAAATTACTTTGGATTCAGAACAACCAATGGTAAAGGAAAAACGGAC